TACATTATTCTTGAATACAATTAATATTTTAATAAACAAGAAAGTCTCATTACAAATACGATTAAGAGAAACAATTTTGGATCCAAAGACATTATCAGACGAACATCTAGCAGAAGGGAAACGTTTATTTGAAGAGTAGACACTGAACAAAGGAAAAGAATACATATATAGACATTCAGTAGTTTAGAAAGATAAGGTTAATTCGCTTAGTGGGGAGTCCAGCTGGATCAACTCTGCACGACGGCCACTGATTGGCCTATTGTAGCCTGCCCGTGGTGATTATGATGGAGAATTTGGTGGAATGAACATTGGCAGAGTAAACTGAAGTACTCGGAGAAAACCCGCCCCAGCGCCACTTTGTCCTCCACAAATCCCACTTGAGCAGACCGTGATCGAACCCGGGCCGCCGGGGTGGGAAGTCAGCGACTAACCTCTTGAGCTATGGCGTGGCCTTCCGAAAGATAAGGTAACCCTGCGACCCAGACACAAGATTTTTTTTTTGAGAGAGTGTACAGTTAACGTAAGATGTTTAGAATCTAGAAGTAATCCCGGGTCTTTAACAGCGTCGGTAAAGATTAAGGAGGGTTGGTAAAGTTTATAGGCTTGGATCAGTACGAGTATGTTTTACTTCAAAAGGATATAACTTCAGTTTTACTAATGTTGGGTTTCATGTAGCTAACATTACATCAACAGTGTACTGACTCAGTGTGAGACTGCAGTGCGTATATTGCAATCATCAGAATACCGTCGATTGTAATATATTCAGTGGAAAGTAGATACATGGAGTAGTTAACAGTACCATATAAGCCTAATGATGACGCATGTGATGCAGTTTAAAAAGCCGATCACAGCGCCGCGCGGTCTAAGTCATGAAACATCTTCGCTCGCTCGAACGCTGGGATCGTGGGTTCGAATTCTACTCAAGGCATGGATGTCTGTGCGCGTTTATTCAGTGTTTATGATGTTCTGTGTGTAGGTAGCGGCCTTGCGACTGGCTGATCGCCCGTCCAAGAAGTCCTACCGACTGTGTATAGGATTAAGAAACTGAAGAAGCGGCCAAGGTCTAACAAAGGGCAGTAGAGCCATAGATGGTTGGAGTTTAAAATCAGGGGTCCTAGAACAAGCCCTTGACGCACACAGCAGATTACTTCAAAAGGTGATGAAAGATTTCGAGAAACACGGACTTGGGATTGTCTGTTGTGTAAGCGATCGTGGGTTCGAATCCCAAAGAAGGCATGGATGTTTGGTATGTGTGTGTGTTTATTCCGTGTTTATGTTCTGTTTTTAGGTAGAGGCCTTGCGACGGGCTGATCGCTCGTCCAAGGTGTCCTACCGCCTGTGAAAATGATCATGAAACTTAAAATCAGAGGCCATTACTCAAGGGGCCTGTAGAGCCTGTGAAAAAAAAAATATATGAAGACATATGTTATTAAGTCATATACAAGGCCGCGCCATAGTTCAAGCGGTTATTCGCTGGCTTCCCACCGCTGCGTCCCGGGTTAGATCCGCGTCTGGTCAAGTGGGATTTGTGGTGGACAAAGTGATGCTGGGGCAGGTTTCCTCCGAGTACTTCGGTTTCCCCTGCCAATCATCATTTCACCAATTGCTCCACAATCACCCTCACCTATCATCTGCTGCTGGTACAATAGGCCAGAAGTGGCCGAAGTTCAAGGGACTTAGTCCTACCCCACTTACTTACTTACTTACTTACTCATGGAGCTGAGCCCTTCTTGAAGAGCCGTCAATTCTGCAGCTACTCAAGAATTTCCCAGCATTTTATGGAACCCGAAGGTTCATCACCGTGTTCACAAGAGCCCTCCACTGGTCCCTATCTTGAGCCAGATCTATCCAATCCATATCGTCCCATCCTATCTCTCTAATATCTATTCTAATATTGTCCACCCACCTACACCTTGGTCTTCCCTGTGGGCTCTTTCCTTCCTGCTTTCCCACCAATATCCTATACGCATTCTTCGTTTCCCCCATTCATGCTACATGACCTGCCCACCCCACTAGCAAAAGTAAAGTCATATACAAGTACAACTAAGAGTAACTGTGATGTATAGTATTACACATACTGAGAGTGATAATACTGTCACGTGTGTAGGTTGTCGCGTGACTTATAAAACGGTTTCTGAATTGGCTTAATGGATTTATTGACACCTTTTACACACACCTCGAGACTACAGGCAAACACAGCGTTATCACTGTTCTACACACTTTACAATTCACCGTTGTACATACACTAGGGTTATCAGTCTTTGATAGTCGTATCCTGGCAACGGATATATAAGTCTTACTGCCATTTCAGGTCACACGTGAAGTCTTCTTTGCAGCGATCAATTCCTTACTTGCCATTATTCTGCAGCTGCGAATTCCGTAGACCCGATTCAGTTCAACTGCTCTACTCCTGGCAGTCTGACATGTCGAAACTGAACTCGACTCTGCTGCTACTGTCAGCTTCGGAACTCTTGCTTATAACCAGTTTTCATGGACCACACAGAAAACAAGCCTTTCTATTGTTGAGAAAGCGTGTTTACAACGCCGTTGCATAGCAACGAAATTTATTCGATTGTTGCTTGCGTATTCCTTGCCGCGGGAATTTGTATGCCGAGTCGCTGTCTAGCAATGTGCGTCTATTCTGACTTCGCTATTCCAGCTTGCGGGCGTCATATCACAATATTAAAATGAGCCCTCACATTGTTACTTATTAGATAGTGTTGAGTAAATTGAGTGAAATAGACTAGTTAGTGTTCCTTTTGTGTTGTGTGTAAACTAGAACTAATTTCGTCCCGTCTGAGCAAGACTCCTTAAGTAAGATTTGAGGCTTTTACGGCGGTGACTATGAAGAAAGCAGTCTTCTTGGATTTGTCACCGTGTATATGTGGTGTTAACCGACGTTTCGGAGGAACGTATCGCCTTCATCTTCAGGGTAGAAGGAAAAATGTAAGAAATCCGCAAGCGAAGAGACCGTGAGAACCGGTAAAAGCAGACTTTAAGACTCCTTAAGCTCTGAGACTGGCTTCTTCTCTGCCTAATCTGACTATCAGCGACTAACATTCACTCCTACTTAGGACACACTGAACTTCGTAAGCAAGGAACTGCTTACTCTCTCCCATATAGATCCCCGTCTGTCTGATTCTGTCATCATGTTACTATAAGTAGTAAGATTAATAATGAGAGAGATCCCACACTGTCCAGAGATGTAGGAGTGCGAGTATCAGCAACTGCTATACATCGGCTACGACTTCAGCTGCACTATGCAAGTTGCTACGTACAAATCAGTCCAACGCGTGGCCATTTCTACGGCGAAGTAAGGAGCAAGTGTGGTTGAGTAGGTAACTGTGAAGTATGTTGATATAGCCACCGGAGAGTCCAAGGGCACTAAGCGTGTGAAGAAGAGGGACATAAGAGTCTAGATCAAACGCACCGCTAATATCAAAATAAACGGCAGAAAGTTTACGGTGACAGCCGACTAAAAGAGTAATTAAATCAAGATAATTAACCAAGTTGATTGTGATATGTTTAGATTAAATGAAACCGCGTGGCATGTGAAACATGGTCATGAATAACAAATTAAGATAATTTTGGTAAAATTATTAGGAGTATATATTAGTCCGTTATTGCTAACAGAGGTACTATTGCCATTTTTTGAATTACTGCTGCATGAATTCATAATTCAGGGAAATACCGCTGAGATGAACTTAGATTACAAGTACGTTTAAGAAGAGGAAGACTAGTAAAAACATCCGAATCACATATAAGCGCTAGTGATCGAACATAGAAGGAAACAAAAGTTGGTGAACACCCCTGGACAAAAGTTGTTATATACCACTACCACCACCACCACCACCA